CAGCCTGATTGAGCCTGCTGACTGGATGCCCTCATGCCCCACGCTGTGGCTATTAGCCTCCACTGGTGCCAAGGGGTTTATTTTTCCCTCTGTAAAGTGTGTGAGAGGCGTCCATGGAAGCAACTAATGAATACTTAGTGAACCTTTGTAAGTCAGGCAGCCACATTCCAAGGCCACCCTGATTTGACAGCTCCACAGATTCTCAGACATGCTACTGTCCCATCTCCATGACAAGAGGAGTTGGCATGGACTGGTCACAGGCAGCTGTCAGGAGCAAATGCCCAGTGTCTGACCTAGTTACACCCTCTGATTTAGAGACAGAGAGAATGTAATATCTGAATTAGGCCTTTGTCACCTAGGGAGGTCCGTCCGTCTGTCCATCCATCCATCCATCCATCCGTCCATCCACCCTTCCATTTACCCATTCATCTTCAGCAGTGTTTCTTCACTTCCGGGCACTGAGAACGGAGAGGTGACTCATGGCCTCTCTTTACTATCCAGAAATCCACTATTCACTTCAGCTATTTAAATGACATGTTGGTAAAAAAACAAAGCAAAACACAACACAACTTCTTACACACTCATTTGCTTGTTTTAAGAGAAAACCAATGGGAATGATATTAATTTTATTGCATCAATTTTTTTTTTTTTGCTGACTAGAACGCCAGACTTAAAGTGGATATAAGTATAAAAATAACCGGATTCTTACAAATAATACTTTACTGCTACAGTACTGAATAATTAGTGGAGGCGACATTATAATACAACTTTAAATAACATTCTCATGATGGGTTTCACACAGTCAATGTGGGTGTCAGGTTTCAAAGAGTACAGAACAAAACCCAGGACAATGGCAACGGAGTTCGTACTGCAGCTTCATCTCCATTTAACCATAAGGCCAGCAACACACACACGCACACACACACACACACACACATATCAGCTCACAGCAACTCATGGTGAAATGGTCAATTTCTCTGTAGAACAGGCCTACGTAATGCCCAAAGACAAGCGAGTGCATTCAGTTCCCCTGACAAACCACTTCCACCCCACTCCTACACTCACCCCATTCCCAACAATCCAGGACAAGGGCATCAAGCCCTTCATTTAATTGACCAGGCAGCCCCTTGGAAATGCCCATGTGACAGGGGCAGCCCAGGACCCGCCTCTCTTCATACCTAAAGGTTTCCCTCTGGTTTCACAGGCTATTCTGTGGGCTAAAGTCTCCATCAAACATAAAGAAGTGTTACCTCACTGGGTGGTGGTGGCACGCGCCTTTAATCCCACCACTCAGGCAGAGACAGGTGAATCTCTGTGAGTTTGAGGCCAGCCTGGTTTACAGAGCGAGTTCCAGGACAGCTAGGGCTGTTACACAGAGAAATCCTGTGGAGACACTTAAGTACAATGAATTGATTGGCATTTAATACTTTAATGTTCCTATTATTTTAACCAATTATTTAAAAAAGTTTACTGTTATTATTTTAACTTTAATGTTCCTATTGTTTCCCCCTTTGGGATTTGAGAAAAGAAAGAGCACACACACCCAGCAATAAGCTACAAAAGCATTTCTGTCTCCTAACACACTGCTGAGCGCTTTAGAATGATACTGTTAGGAAAGAAGAAATGACAGGGCTGGGGTGTGATGCAGCTTCACAGCATGGCACAGCACTTGCCTGGTACGTGCACGGCCTGGGTTCCTGGCCCTATCTTCCAGCAGGAGGAGGAGGGGGGAGAGGATGAGGGGGAAAGGAGGAGCTGGAGGAGGGGGAGAAAGAAGAGGAAGAAGAATAAGAGGAAGAAGAAGAGGAGGAGGAGAAGGAGAAGGAGGAGGAGGAAGAAAAAGAAGAAGAAGAAGAAGAAGAAGAAGAAGAGGAGGAGGAGGAGGAGGAAGAGAAGAAGAAGAAGAAGAAGAAGAAGAAGAAGAAGAAGAAGAAGAAGGAAGAAGAAGAAGAAGAAGAAGAAGAAGAAGAAGAAGAAGAAGAGATATGTATGTCCTTTTCTAAAAACAAAAGCTTTTAGGTAGATGACAATGTCTCTGCTACTACAGGCTGTTTTAAATAAAATATGAAAACACAGAACTTTGTATTCTTCTTCCCAAAGAAGTGCTTTGGTCTCGAAGAAAAAGAATCAAGATAAACTTAGAACTATGTGTAAAGCCCCTAGTTTTGAGTGTACTGTGGGACACGTAGCTAAGAACAACTTGGCTGTATAGTTTTACCGCTTTAGGCCCAGTCCCACAGTTACAGAGACCTTGGCACGTCACTCCTGGGCAAGGTGGCTTAAGGAGGCATCCAAAAGCCACGTGCCAGGGGTGACCCTAGCGTGCCCTCTCTGGAGTTCCACACTTGAATAGGCAGCATTTTTGAAGACTTTACTCTTGGTCAACAGCCAGTCTCCTGTGGCCCAACTTTATGACTTCCTCTTTTAGACCATAATAGTCATCTTTGACCTCAAAATGCTACCAGGCAGCTTGCCTGCACCAATCATACACCACTACTGGCTCAATAAGACTTACGTGCTTCTAAGAATAACCTCCCCAATAAGGAAGCTCCTTCGGCACCCCAGACACTCAACTACGTTCCCAGCTCCTACAGGTTCACACATTTAATATGCAGGAGCCATGGCCTCAATTTGAGAATAATGCAGGCAGCCCTCAAATGGGCGCCTCAGTCTGGTTATGCTTATCCAAAAACCCACCTAGACCATTCCCTTTCACTTCTGGCAGCCCAAGCCACGTACCAATATACTTCTTGCCAACTACAAACACATTAATATTTTCCTTTTTGAGACGGGTGTCATGTTCTGACTTTCTGAGGGCTGGGGTCACAGGAGTGTAACACTGCGCCCAGTTTATGTGGTGCCCAGGATCAAACCCAGGGCCCGCACATGCAAGGCAAGCTCTCTGCCATCTGAACTACATCCCCTCTCTGAACGCTCATCATCAACTATCACCAAATACCTTGCATAGAGCTTGATTCATAGGGACACATGACACTATTTATCCTTATTTTCTTCAGAGATGGGCCCCAGGTCATGAGCTGCCTTGTGGAGCAATGAAAAAAAAAATGTCCCCTTGGCATTTACACTGAGCTCAGACTGGATTCCAGAAGCACCCTTTTCTTATGCCTGAACCCCTTAGGGATAGACAAGTTCTGCCTGGCCTGGCTCTTCTGCAACAAGCATCTCCTCTTCCTTCATCATGGGACCCAAATGCAGGACTGTGACATATCTACACATGTGAATTATGTGTTCTGAGTGTGCGGGCCGACTGTGAGCACTTGTGTCCTGCAGAGAGTCTGCATGTCTAGGCGTGTGTTCATCCTGACTGTCCTGCTCACGGGCTGCCGATGTCCTGTCTCCGGCTCCATCTGGATGTAACCCTGAGGAGGACAGCACCCAGACACTGCATTCCTCCCAATGGTGGGCAGAGAGTGCCAGGTAAGTCCTATCTCTTTTACAAATTCTTCCAGCCTTTCTACCTCAAGCCCCATCCCCGAGACGGTAGACTCAGTATAAATTCACCCTTGCTCGGCACTCTCAGTTTTACCACAGTAAAAAGGAACAAAATGAAACACACTTATCAACTCTATTTGGACCAAAAACATGAGCCAGCAAGCATTTTTGGATTCACAGGACACTTTTCTGGACACTGGGATTCCTCCTAGGACTTTTTTTTTTTTTCCTGAAAATCTTCATTGTGTGGGGCTTGAGGCTTCTGGCCCTGTACAGGCGCTCACCAGCTGGGATGCCAGCTGAAGGCATTAGAAGTGTGCCTAGGGACAGCCGCCACACTGGCTCTTCTCACAGCAGTAAGGCTGGGGACAGACAGGGACACGGAGGGAAGGGCTAGAACCAGGTTACCTCACAGGGGACCTGAGCTCAGGTAAGCGGTGCACAGGAGCTCACAAATGTACAAGGAGCCACCAGTTTCACAGTGGGGCAGGCGAGACCCATGGCTTCTAGATGCTAATGCATCAGCCAACAGCAACAGAATTCTCTGTACTAGTGAAGGCATCTGATGATTAAAACCCACTGCACCTGACTAATGGTCCCAACCGGTGGAGACTATGGGACACAGTGCACACTTAAAACAGGCTGGGGACCTGCATACATTTCGGAGGAACCAGAGAACCCCAAACAAATACACACAGATCTATTTCAAACAGCTGCCCCATTTCCAGAAAGATACACCCCTGAATTCCCAGCTACGGGGGGGGGGGGGGGGGGGGGGGGGGGGGGGGGCGACGACACAATGCTTTGACCTCTTCATCCAAAACCAGGATATTCCACACACTGATAAATGACTGTAGTTCCGCAGGGCACAGAGCCTCCCCCGCCACACACACACACACACACACACACACACACACACACACACACACTGGGCTCCCACAATACAATAAACAAGACACAAAACTTCCATTCCCCAAAGCAAGCTCTCAGACCCCTGGCGGGCCAAACTTCTGTCTCCAGGGGGCGCTGCACAAGAACACAGGCATACTGATGACCAGGTGAGAGAAATGACCAAGTTCCCTCTCCAGCGAGTAAATAGTGGTTAAAACTTTCCATGAGTTTGTGGACACTGTGGGTTCAAAGATCAGAAGGCACACACCCTTACCTGTGACTCCCTCCTAGCTCCCTGTTCTTCCTTGGGGAAACCCCGCCGCTTCTCAAAACGCTGGGTGATGCAGGAAACAGGCCAGGTTATTCAGTCCAGCCCTCTGCCACATCCCGCCATGGGGACTACAGTGGCGACACACTAGATCGCCTCTCCCTTTTCTGCTACGGCCACGCAGACTCTGGCTCCACGCTGGGCGTCAGCGTCCCAGGCCCCCATGCCATTCCCTCATAGATCAAAACCACCCTACCACACGGAGGACCTTCCTGATATTGCCTGCTGGGACTCGCTAAGGGGCAGCTGGGCACGCCTAATGAAACAATACCAAATGAAAACTATTCTACCCTGATGCGTTCTTGCTGGGAAAAGTAAGCTCAATAAATCGTAAGCAAGCGTGTCACCTTGACTTAGAAAACAAATGGAAGCCGTGTGCTGCACCTTGCAAAGGTCAAGTTCTCATTTGGGGTGTTTGCTTGGAAATGAGCACAGGCAACCTAGAAACCTTAAAATTCCACGCCCTGGCTGCAGCATCCCTTGATCACAGCGGTCTGTTTACCTCCATCTGTTCTTTAGCACAAGGCACCAGGCAGGAAAACGAAAGTGCCAGCACCTGGCTGCCAGTCAATCACCAGACTGAGGCCTGCAGAAGTATCCTAGGAAAGGAAGGCTTTCCGAAACAGCATGGGAATGAGTCAAAAATGAAACCTCCCTGCCCAATCTATTAAAGTGCAAATTACGGGGAAACTGGGGCCTGGAAATGATGCCGCCTAGTGGTTGCCTGTGGAAGTCAGCCAGTTCTACGCGCCAGACATTCGGAGACTCGGTACTGGCCCACTTTCACGTTCACAGTGATAACAGCGCGGAACGAGCACTCTGCGGTTCCGCATCCATCTGTCCCCTTCCACTGTGGTCATACCCCTCATGTGTGGCTCTGACGAGTCCCTGGGAGCAGCTAGTGCGTGGCACTCCCTCTCCGTGCAGTCCTCTGAGCCAGAGGTCTGGGGAAGTGGCTCAGAGAAACGGGCCCTCTCCCTCCTGGACTCAGAAGTAGTCTCTCCTCCTGCTCTCATCGCTGATGAAAGATGGGTTATACTGTCCCGGGAAAATGCAGGAGTGCCTTGATCCGGGCAGTCCAGTGTAGGCCGGGTAGAGTCCATTGCGTTCAAGTTCAGGGTTCCTTACGTTTGTGGGCTGGATGCCAAAGAGAAAAGAATAAAAGTTACTTATTCCCAGACTTAAATAAGTTTAAATGATTTTACATTTTAATGAACCTAAGATGGGACTAGCTATAAATTGAGATTGGGGTTAGCTAGAAATATCGAAGCACGGGCTCAACTGAAAGCAAGACTCCCACGGGTCTGTTTATGTATTTAGATGGGGGTGGGGTGGGCGGAGTCATGCCATCTGTTCCTGGGGACCTGAAATTCACAATCTCCTCCTTTTAAACAAATCATTTTAATTACTTTTCCTAAATTTTATTTTATATATATGAATGTTTGTGTGCCTGGTGCCCACAGACACCCCAAGAGGCCATCCGATTCCCAGGAACTGGAGTTACAGACAATTGAGAGCTGCCATATGGGTGCTGGGACTTAACTGCCAAGCCATCTCTCTAGCTCCCCCCACAATCTCGCCTCTTCCTACCCTGTGCTGGGATTGTAGGCGTGTGTCACAAGACCTGGCATACAAGCTTATCTCTTTATGGACGTGGGGCACATTTCAGTCCTTGTTACAAAGGGGTTAAAAAAATCTTAGTCGGGCCAGTATTGGAAACAACAATACAGGCTCCATGAGAAAGTTAAGGCTTTTTTTAGTAGAAATAAAGCACTAGATAGAGGGCATTATAAACATCACACCTATGAGAGCCCAATGCGCCACTGCCTGGACGGCTTTGGACCAACTGTGAGGGACAGTGGCACTCAGGGGACAGCATCGTGCTGTAAACTCGGGTTCGGCTTCCATAAAGAGAAGATAGGGCCTGCGCGTAGTCTTATGTCAGCTTGACCCACAAACTAGAGTCATCTGACAGGAGGGAACCTCAACTGGGAAAATGCCTCCCTAAGATCCAGCTGTAGGGCATTGTCTCAGTGAGTGATTGATCAGGGAAGACCCAGCCCATTGAAGGTGGGATCATCCCTGGGTGAGTGTTCCTGGGTTCTGTAAGGAAGCAGGTTGAGCAAGCCTTGATGAGCAGCCCTCCTCCATAGCCTCCGCATTATCTCCTGCTTCCAGGTGTCTGCCCTGTTCTGAGTTCGTGTTCTGACTTCCTTTGGTGACGTGGCAACGTGGAAGTGTGAACCTGTTCCTCCCCGCCTTGGGGTTTTGTCGCAGCAACAGAAACCCTGACTAAGTGTTCATCTGAGCGCCTAAGTAGATTTAAGACAATGCCATGGGAATGTGGCGCGAGGCGGGGGTCCCAGGGTTCTGCCTGCTTGTTTGCTATCATTATCAAACCAGAGCATGGCTGAGGAGTCCCGAGCAAAGGATGTGGAGTTAAGATACACTGAGAACAGCATCAGTTGGGGAAGGGAAAAGAAATTCCTGACAGAAGCAGAAAGACCCACGCCTGCCCAGAGACAGGACGCTGAACTAGAGTTCAACTGGAGGGGCGTGGCTATCTGTATTTTCTCCACCTTTCTTGTTCTTCCTCCTGGCTGAAAAATCTCAAAGATCACACTGAAACCAACTGGCCCCTCCCATCCAAAGTCTGATCCTCCTGGTTCATCCCCACAGCAACTAGAGATTATGGTTTCTATCGCCGAATGTCTAGTGCCATTAAATCCCCACAGGGCAAGGTCTCATGTTTATTGCCACATGGCAAACTGGTGAGAAGTCACCTGACATGTTTATTTTTCTGCTCCGGTATCTGCATTTGTGTCTCCTCACGGCTGACTTGGTGTGACCTGAGCTGAACTGAACCAAATAGGAGTCAGCGTGGGACAGGAAAAGGGACTACACACAGTGGTTCTCAACGGTGGGTCGAGATCCCTGGGGCGGGTGGGTGGAGCAACCTTTTCACAGGGGTCACGTATTAGATATTTACAATACAGTTCATAACAGCAGCAAAATTACAGTTAAGAAGTAGAACCGAAAATAAACAATTTTATGGTTGGGGGTCACCACCACATGGGGACCTGTATTAAATAGGGTCACAGCGTCAGGAAGGTGAGAACCACTGGCTGAAGGTACGCTCCCAGCTTCCCCGATGATGCAGTCCAGGATGGAGCCGATTATTTGAGATCAACTGAGTTTCTAAAGCCTCCATGGTGAAGATGACATTGAGCCATTCTTGCTGTGTCTCTCCTGGGCCCCAGTTTTGACTGACAAACCACAGGGTGAGATACGAGATAGCGAAACAAACAGGAGAAGGGCAAAGGGCCAAAACCACATTCTTTCTTTCTTCTTCTTGGAAGTTTCTGTTCCTATTCTGGAAAGCAAGTTCAGGGATGACGACTCCCACAGGGATGACGACTCCCACTCCCTGACAGTGATTTTCTCTGTGAAAGGATCCCTGCCACTCACACTGCTAAATACTGCACGGCTAGGCCATTGTTAGACCGAATAATAAACCCGAGTAATAAACTGTGTGTCAGTACACTGTGAACCTGAGAGGTTTATGTCAGTGTTCTCCTTCCATGCTTTCATAGGGAGCCTGAGCTGGGGCCCTATGGCCGGCTGGGGCCCTGTGGCCGGCTGGGACCCTGTGGCCGGCTGGGACCCTGTGGCCGGCTGGGGCCCTGTGGCCGGCTGGGGCCCTGTGGCCGGCTGGGGCCCTGTGGCCGGCTGGGCAGACACCTACCGAGTAGTACACGTCTGTCATCTGCAGGAGGTTTTTGGTGCTCCCGTTCTCGTGCATTTCAATGGCTTCTCGGCCCCATTCTTGTGAGCGAGGATTCTTGGGGTACTCGGCGTATGGGGACATTTGGAAGTCCCCACTTTTGAAGATGAGTTTACTTATGTCATTTTTACTCTTTCTGTGAGATGTTAAAAAGATGCGCGACAAATTCTGTCAGTAAGTTGTGCCAGAAAGCGGCCTCTGTGACGAGACTGATGTGTGTGTCTGGCAACATAAAATAGACCTGGCATTGCCCCTGTATTTCCATGTGGCTGCCCACCAGAAATGCTAGGATGATTTAGTATATGCCTAAGAAACTAAAAATGACATTAGGTGTCCCCTCTGCCATCCAAAAACAAACAAAAGGACAAACCAAAAACAAAAACAAAAAGACTTTCCAACTTCAAAAGCCTAAATGGAGCATGAAGACAGCCCCAAAGGGGCTATTAGTGTCCTCTGGGAGCAGAGGGACTGTGCCCTGGAGTGGTCAGGGGCACAAGAATCAGGGTTCACAGGTGACCGTGGTGGGGAAAGGAGCTCACTGGTGGCCAAACGTCAGTAGCCACAGGTGAAGCATCAAGGTTGTTCTTGAGTTTCCAGAATGGGAGCCATGCTTCGGGAGGCTCTGGCTCGTGGAGGCTTAGCCCGAGGCTCACCTGCAGCTACTAGAGACCTGGGATGGGGTTGGACTCTCCACTTCCCAGCCAGGGTTTTACTTACAACTTCACAAACTACAAAACCTCCATGGGGGTCGCCTGCTTACATTCTCATTTTAGCAGGCCCAGAACCCACCCTGCTGTGAGGTTTCACCGCCTAGGACTGATTGGGGCAACTGTTTGTCTTGTGGGTGGAGGATCAGAAATATTTAATTCTATTTGATCTGAGTAAGAGAATCTGAGGGCCGTTGTTCATCCTGCACTTTAAGTTTCTGGGAAGGGCACAGAACTGATTCAGCATCGTAAAACTGAAGTTCCTACACACAACTTCAGTACCAGCTCTTCCGTCAGGCCCAGAGCCAACCCGCTACAACTGTGCAGTGACAGGTTGGCCCCATTGCTGTCTTCCCCTTTCAGTAGCCAAGAATCCGGGCTCCCTCCAGAAACGCCTACATTGCGTGACCGAGAATGCTGCCAAGACAAGGTTTATGTCCTTCCGCCTGCCAGGTCTTGTTTCTCTATGTAACTGCCCCTAACTGGTTTATTTCCTTGCATGCTTATATCTGATGGCAATCTGAGAAGAAATGGCTATCCTACGAGGCCCGCACTCCTGATGGATATAATGCTTACCATGTTATTCTTGGTAGCCTTCCTGGAGGCAAAGGATGCTTTAAAATGTCCTTACATCATGGGCACAAAAAGATAACGAGCTACTTGGGAAAAGTCCCTCCGGCTGTTACCTACACATAATTCTTTCCATTTGATATCGTTTAAATCAACGATTGTAATTTTCCTTTACTTGAAGAGGTAATTGTAGACAAGGGGATCTAGCTTCCCCTTTCTCTTCCCTTCCCATAGGAACTCCATTGCAGGAAGCCTGGAGCGAAGGTCACATTATTCATCCAAACCATGGCTCCCTCCATCGCCTTTGCTGCTGACATAGCTCAGGCAGCCTCCTCCCTGCGTCTTTGCATCTCTCTATAAACACAGACCTGAGAACCGATTGACGTAACCATACGATTTACTCGTTTGGTGGTATTTACCACATTCACTGTGGTGCGCCTGTCCTCTCAGTTTTAAAGGCGCTTCGTCACCTACCCCGTAGCAACCATCCCCAGCCTTCCAACATCTCTAACCTGACCTAGCCCTAGACTCCAGCTAGGCTACTTCCTGTCTCTAGGAGATGCCGATTAATCGTATCACAGCCCAGATGATCTTTAATAACTCATGTTCATATCGCACCCCTGATGATTTTGCAGATGCCGTCTTTCACCTAGAATAGGATGTGGAAGGTTCACCCACGTGTCAGTCAGTGGCTGACTGTGGGTCTGGGGACAGTTCTGTCACATCTGGTTTTCTTATTCACCAGCCCACAGGCCCTGGGGTTGTTTCCCCTTTGGACTCCTAGGAACAGACTTGCCATGAACACACTAGGCCAAGTTCCTGTGTGGACGTGTTCCATCTAGTCTCCCCTTTAACTCAAGGAGATCCAAGTGTCTCTGTCTCCAGAGTGCTGGGATTAGACATGCGTGTCCCCAGATCCGGGTGTTTTGCTTTTTAAACAGTCTCTTTGTAGGCCTGGCTGGCCTTGCACCTGCTTCCCAGCTAAGGATAACTTTGAATTATTGATTCCTCCTGCCTTTACCTCCGGGGCTGGGATCACAGGAGGACAGCACCATGCTCAGTTTTTGTGTATCTGGGGAGCAAACGCAGGGCTTCACGCGTGCGAGGCAATCACTCTACCAACGGAGCCCCCTCCTCAGCTCTAGAGTTGGAAAGTTCTGGATCTTGATAAAATCCAATTCGCCTTTTTTTTTAGTTGGTTGTGTTACTACCGTTTGGTTCTTTGGAGACAGGATTTTATCATGCAGCCCAGGCTTGCTTATAACTTGCTATGGACCCAGGCTGTCGTCATCCTCCAAGGTATATTCCTTCTGCCTTAGTCTCCCCAATGCTACGCTGTTCAAGGCTAAACACTGACCCTCTGAACAGCACAGCTGATAAAGCGGGATTTAAATTCGCGATCTCGGTCACTCACCTGCAACAGGTGACAATGAGTGCGATGCCCAGGATGAGCAACAGGCCACCTCCAGCTGCCGCGATCACCACGGTGATGAGCTGATAGGCTAAACACATCAAACAAAGGGGCAAACAAACAGGGTGGATTGGCAGGAGATCATGAGTAATAATCAGAGCCTCCGCCCCGCTCCCACCTCTGCCAGCGTGGCCCTGGCCGCTCTCGCCTAAGGCTTCATCTGTGGCCCAGAAAACTCTAAGGCTAGAGTTCCACTTTCTTGTCTTGAGAGGAATCCCCCGTTCAGCCCCTTCTAGGGCAGTGGCCCTAAAATTCTTCCTGTAGGACAGCCCTGATGATGTCACTGAACCACAAATGAGAAAGAGACAGGCAAGCATTATGTTTCCCCAAACTGATCTGAGAGATTTCACTCATCCCTTTTCTCTCTCTCTCTCATTTAAGATGAGTGATTTTTTGAAATTTAAACATCAAGAAACTTGTTAGCTTGATGGTGACCGTAGAGATAAAGATGCTTGGTTCACACTGGAGGCAGAGGCAGGCAAATCTCTGAGTTTGAGGCGAACCTGGTTTACAGAGCAAGTTCCAGGACAGTCAGGGCTATTACACAGAGAAATCTTGTCTCACAACAAAACAAAATAAGAGCAGATGCTAGATTCTGTTTTAGGGCCTTACTTGGTAAAACAGAACTGAGACAGGTTAAACGCTTCAATTTCAGAAGAAATATTACTGGTCTGTTAAATCCGGGGACCCAGGGGTTCCATAGACATAAATTTAACTACCAGAAATTAGCACTGATAGAATAATGCTGAAAGGTCTACTTAATTTGGTTTAATATCAATATATTTGTAGCAAAATTATTTCTTATAAATTATATTAATTATTCTATTTTTCTTGTGAAATACAATTAAAATTTGTTCCTCAGGTTGCACGATCTAGTATGAAAGGGCAATAACTAATTTTCTTTTTAATTTCTTTTAGCTGGGTGTGGTGGCTCAAATCTTTGACCCAGTGCTCAGGAGGCAGAGGCAGTTAGATCTCTGTGAGTCTGAGGCCAGCCTGCAGAGCTAGTTCCAGGATAGCCAGAGCTACACAGAGAAACCCTGTCTTGAAAAAAAAATTTATTACCAATATTTTATTCAATTATTTGTCTGTGGCATGACCCAGGAGGCCAGGAGAGGACATCAGATCCCTGGGACAGAAATTACAGAGGGTTGTAAACCACCAGGAAGGTGCCGGGAGTGGAGCACACAGTGCTCTTTAACACTGAGCCATCTCTCCAGCTCCAGATGACCAGACTTCTGAAGGAAATTAAGACTGAAACAATGATCTGCAGCCATTTTCATAAAGTCGAGGCTACGGCAGAGAGCCAGAGCTCTCGCCCCATCTGGATGAACGCCTACATTCACTACATTTACGGTTCTATGAGTAGAACAGTAAATGACAAGCTATGAACCCTTCATCTAGCCTTTTATTTAAGTAAATAGCAAAGAGGCCGGACTCTTATGAAAAAGATTAGTACTGCAACACAGAGGAATCACATGATGCACCCTCGCCTCCCTCGCCTCGTGATACATGCGTTCAGAGGTTCCTCTTACAAGTGAGGACAAAGCAAACCTCTTGGGGATTGCATCCATGTTCATCTTTAAAAATATTAATTTTATGGGTACGTGTATGACTGAGTGTAAGTATACATGCCGTGTGCACGCCTGTGGAGGTCAGAAACAGGCATGGGATCCCGTGGACCTGGTGTGACAAATGCCTACTAGCCACCGTGTAGGTGCTGGGAATGGAACCTGTGTCCTCTGGAAGAGCAACAAGTGCTCTTAACCATCCAGCAAAGAGGGTGGCAGATCCCGTGGAACTGGAGCCACAGGTAGCTGTGAGCAACCCCATGTGGTTGCTGGGAACTGAACTCTAGTCCTGCAGAAGAGCAGGTAGTGTTCTGAACCCCTGGCCCTCTTTCCAGCCCCGCGTCCCTGCTCTTCATCCCCACCAGCTTTGCCTGCCCTGAGCTCCTGTCATCTCATCTGGACAGCAAACCTGATCGTGCTGTTCCCGTTCTAAGAAGCTTCAGCGTCTCTCTATGCTTGCTTATTTATTTAACTTTTGAGATGAAGTCTCATGTAGCCCAGGCGCCCCTCTAACTTTCTATGTAGCCAAGGATGCCCTTGAACTGCTGCTAGTGTCTACGGAGTGCTGGGATTACAAGCGACCACAACTGGCTTCCCTTTGTCCCTCCCTATTTTTTGGACAGGGTTTCACATAGCCAAGGCTGGCTTTGAACTCTTGCCTCCGTCTCTCAAGTACTGGGAATACAGGCCTGTGTCATCATACTTGCCTTCCCTGTTTTGTTTTGTTTGTTTTTGCTTTTTGAGACAAGGTTTCTCAGTGTAACCTTGGGTGTCCTGGTACTAGCTCTGTAGACCAGGCTGGCCTTAAACTTAGAGATCCACCTGCCTCTGCCTCCCGAGTGCTGCCACCACTGCCTGTCCACCTGTTTTCTTTTTAAGTTGAGACAGGCTCTCATCCTATAGCACAATAGCCTAGAACGCACTATGTAGCCCACGCTGACCTCAAAATTGAAATAATCCTCCCGTTTGAGCCTGGGATTGCAGTCATGTGCTACCAAACCTGGTTTATTCTGTTCCTAAAAACCAAAATCTAAACCAGGCTTATTGGTGCATGCTTTTAATCCCAGCTCTGAGGAGACAGAGACAGGTGAATCTCTGTGAGTTCAAGACTAGTCTGGTCTACATAGCAAGTTCCAGGACAGCTGGGGCAACACAGTGAGAACCTGCCTCAAAAAACAAAAAAGTAAACTATTATTTATCCCATACATCACACTAATTTTTCTAGCTTCCAGCAAAACAACTAAACATTATTTGACCCCTGTAAGTGGCTGCAGGCTATAGCTGCTCCTCTTTGAAATAAACAGTTTTGTCTGAAAAACAACATGCTTTGCAAGAAAATGGATGGAACTGGATAACATCATTTAAGTAAAATAAGCTAAGCTCAGAAATATGATTATCATCTGCATTCTCTACACACACACACACACACACACACAGACAGAGAGAGAGAGAGAGAGAGAGAGAGAGAGAGAGAGAGAGAGAGAGAGGAATGACATGAAAGGAGATGGCAGACAGAAGCAGAGGAAGGAATAACTGATTAAATAGCCTAGGGTGGCTTGGAACTCACAATGTAGCCCAGGCTGGCCTCAAACTCATGATCCCCCTGCTCCAATTTCCCAAGTACTAAAATTAAAAGCATGCGCTATCATACCCAGCTGGATCAATTTTTAAATACACAAAATCTCACTTGGTCCCCCCTTCTATCCCTTTAGGGGTCAACTGTCATACACTTCTTTTTCTTTTTCATTTACAGATGTTAGCTGTGGACACAGTGAAGTAACCCAGACTCAGCTATCTGGAACCTAGCTGTAATGTATATATATGCAGATGAGTGTGGGTGAGCATGAGCCATTGCCTTAAAAAGGAGACCATGGGGGGGGGGAAGTCGAGGGGGAAATACTTTAAATAAAAGAAATAATAATAAAAATAAACAAGACGAAGAGATTTCATATACCCTTTACCATGTCTACCAAGGGCACTGTTTTTTTCTTTCTTTCTTTCTTTTCCTTTTTTTTTTTTTTTTTTTGAGACAGGGTTTCTCTATGTAACAGTCCTGACACTCACTCTGTAGACCAGACTGGCCTCAAACTCACAGAGATCCACCTGTCTCTGTCTCTCGAGCGCTGCTGGGATTACAGACATGCACCACCACCGCCCGGCCACACTGTTCTACAGCATCATTTAAACTGATCTTTGGGGAACAAGTGCTGACTTTAGCTTTTCTGAGACACAGAGCTTCATGGGGCCTTTCTCCCCCAACATCAACTGTCATGTTTACTTTGCGGGCACTGAGTGGGAGTTTAGCAGGATACAGACAGAGACGCTGCCTGTGTCTGTCCTGTGCTCTCTAGTCTGAGGAGATGCTACCGCAGGAAGCTGGGGTCCTCGGGCCTCCTTTCCTGGCCTCGCCAGCCGCAGCTCCTTCCACCATCCTCTCAGCTTGAGGCTGGGACCTCAGCTTGCATTTTTCCACCAAACCAGCCCACGCTGGGCCTCTCCCTTCCTCAGGAGCTCCTTGCTTATGCGGCTGTTTGGAAGGAACCCACTGTCTGTATAGCCCACCTCTTCTGAGAACTACTTACTCCCTCCATCTGCAGTGGGGTGGTCACTCATGTTGACACCCTTGGCCACAGCTGATGAGGAATGAATACATGATGGAACTTTCTCCTTCACACACAGTCAAGAGCTGCATGGATTCTGTTTCTACCACATGGCCTGGGAGAGGAGGAAGCCGGTGGACAGCCACAGCAGTGAAAGCAGAGAGGAGGTGGAGTCACGCTGGGCTGAGCTGAGAGCTCTGACCCCAGCAGCCAGAGGAGCCCACTCCAACAATTCCTGACACCCCGTCCCAGGACAAGCCCTTCTGCTAAGCTTCGCTTCGGCTCACCAGTCTTTCCTCCAGAACTTCCTTTCTTTAAAAAGAACACACTTTCTTTAAACCCATGCAACAGAGCTTTCTAGGCATCCTGATTGGCTTTCTTTTAAAATTCATTCAGTACTTTACCACACAAGGCCCGAGTTTTGCCTTTTAAGCCTCCCCATCCTCTTACATCTCTGCTCAAGGTTTTCCTTTTCTTTCTCTGAAGTTTCCCAATTTCCAAGTTTCCAGGTTATGTGTGAACCTACCCAGTGCCCACTGCCCTCCATTAAGACAATCTCCATGTGACCCTTACTCTCTGCTGGGGTCCCTGTCCCTTCCACTTCACCAGGCCATGGGGATGTTCTCCTCTCCCAAGCCCTGCTTCCCTCAGTCCTGACAGGAAAGAAAGCCAGCTGAGGCCAGCGGGATGGCGGCTGGCTCTGATTTCTGGGTGGTTATGGATCACTCCTTCCTCACACACGTTTCTGGGTCTTTCTGGACCTGAGTGACTCCTGCTGACACAGCACTTCCTCTGATCTGAATCTCCCTGCAGCCCCATGCAAGAACAGGGAGAGCAGAGTGAGAAGTGCGGGGGCGGAAGGCAGTGGGGAGTATCCTTAGGTGGAATGCCCTAGTTCACCGGAAGAGACGAAACAGAAAAGATGGGTCTGAAAGCCACACTTTGAAACTGTTATTACTTTGAGCCTGGCTGTGTAGCTGAGTGGCTGGCCCCTACCATCCTCCTCTCCTTCTCTTCTTACTCCTCCTGCCTCTCCTCCTACTTATTATCTCTGCCCAGCTGTCCCCCCCACCATTTTCTCTCCTGCCTGCCTATTGGCCATTCAGTTCTTTATTAGACCATCAGGTGTTTTTCACAAAGTAACACGGCTTCATAGAGTTAAACAAATGCAACATAAACGAATGCAACAAACTTTGCATCGTTAAACAAATATTTCACAGCATAAACAAATGTAACACATCTTAAAATAATATTCCGCAAAAAAACTTCCTTCTGCCAGGTCTTATTTAGGAGTCCTAGTTACTTGTAGTATCAGCACAAACTGCAGTCAAGTCTTTAATGCTCGGGGCCTTTGGGAACCATTCAAGATCCAAAATGTAACATGCCTGGTCCTGTATGTTGTCCCAATGCCCAAGCCAAGCAGAGCTGTGCTGTTGCTAAAACTCCTCCCTCCTGAGGGCCCAATGACAAACTCAGGTGTGATTCCAGTGAAGCCCACCAGGGGGAACCAATAAGTTAATTAGGCTCACTCTATACAGTAATGGGCTCTATGGAGGGCTAAGGACAGCAACACCCGTGTTCTTAAAGCAGTCCCAAGAGCTGGGCAGTGGTGGCACATGTCTTTAATCTCAGGACTTGGGAGGCAGAGGCACGCAGATCTCTGTTTGAGACCAGCCTGGTCTAAAGAACGTGTTTCAGGACAGACAGGGCTACACAGAGAAACCCTGTCTTGCGGGGGGAAAATCAGCCCACTGGAAGGTCTGCACCCCACAGAAATCACAGCTTCCCCACAGCTGTGTAGATGGTTACATCCCGCTTTCCTCATCTTTCCCCACCTATACCCTCTCTGGTCCTGTGCCCCATGACCACACGTCGTCAGGGCAGAATTGAATGCAACTATTTGGGGTGGTAGTGGATACTCAGGTGAGGCAAGTGAGGGTCCCGTGATCCTCCCACCCCCTTCTTCTATGAAGGAAGGTAAACAGTCAACAGGCCCAGGTGTGATGAAGTTTTGCAAGCAGGCTCAGCAGAACTCTTTTTTTTTTCAAATATTTATTTATTTATTATGTATACAATGTTCTGTCTGTGTGTACATCTGCAGGCCAGAAGAGGGCACCAGACCTCATTACAGATGGTTGTGAGCCACCATGTGGTTGCTGGGAATTGAACTCAGGACCTTTGGAAGAGCAGGCAATGCTCTTAACCACCGAGCCATCTCTGCAGTCCCAGCAGAACTCTTGAAGACGGTGGCCGTTTCGATCAGAAAATCCTGAACAACAGGTGCACACCTACAATCCCAGCACTTGGGAGAAGGGAGAAGAACCAGAAGTTCACAGTTATCTTTGATTACAAATTAAGTTTGAGGTCAGCCTGGACTACAGACTCTGTTTTTGAGATGGTGTTGGGGCTGACCTGGAACTCACAGAAATCTGCCTGCCTCTGCCTCCCGAGTGCTGGGGTTAAAGGTGTGTGTGACTACCTCTGGTCTTCAGAATGCTATTTGTATTCATACCACAACAGTGAGTCTCTGAAGAACGGCCCAGGAAGCCCAGAAAACTTGTCGACTCAGGTGCTTGAGAAATGCTGGGAGCTGGCACGTTGTGAGTCAGAGGCAAACAGATGGAACAGTTTAGGAACCAGGCTCAAAGCTTACTAAATCTGAAGCTGCCAGCGAACAAGAGAGGTCGTGTGCCCCACATGAAGTCTGGGATGGCAAATCGCAATGGTGGGCTGACTGAAGGTAGATCCTGCACTTAGACCAACATTGGTGATTGATTGCATTAGCCAGTCAGTTTTCGCGGACTTTCTCTACGTGGACTCTAGTAGCTAACAAATGTGCTTTGTGGGAGCTGGAGAGATGGGCTAGAAGTTAAACGCCTGTGCTGCTCCTCTGGACTCGGAATCTGGGTTCTCAGCACCTTTATCAGGTAGCTCACAACCTCCTGTGACTCATAGAGTACCCAGACCCCTCTGTCACAGGATTCTTCCCAACGTGAGTCTTTAAAAAAAAATTGTCTTTACAGTTATCCTCTGCCTCTCTCTCCTTCCCCCTCCTCCTGGAACTTAAGTTCACACATCAAATCAATGACTTACAACATCCAGCTAGAAGTCAATTAGGGAAGTTTGTTGCATTATGGGCACTTGTTGGTTCCGAATGCTTAGCCCTGAAATAATCACATAAAAACCGTATTATGTAAATCACTGCTTGGCCCATTAGCTCGAACTTCTTTTTTTTTTTTTTTAAATATTTATTTATTTATTTATTATGTATACAATATTCTTTCTACCTGTATGCCTGCAGGCCAGAAGAGGGCACCAGACCTCATTCCAGATGGTTGTGAGCCACCATGTGGTTGCTGGGAACTGAACTCAGGACCTTTGGAAGAGCAGGCAATGCTCTTAACCGCTGAGCCATCTCTCCAGCCCATTGCTCGAACTTCTTATTGGCTAACTCTTACATATTAATTTAACCCACTTCTATTAATCTGTGTATGGCATGTGGCTGTGGCTTACCGGCTAAAGTTCCCAGTGTCTGTTTCCGGCAGCGCCATCCTTTTCCCTGACTCCACCTTCCTTCTACCTTGCTATAGGTCAAGTCAGTTTCTTTATTCATTAACCAATAAAAGCAACACAGACAGAAGGACCTCCCACACCAGAGGTTGAGGCAGCCAGCTTGAGTTCCTGACTGAGCTTTTTCTCCATGAATGGGCTTCCAGCTTTCTCTTTCCTCCACGGGCATTTTTACACCATGGAATAAACAAGAGTAACCTCTATGGAAAATGGTTTACCCTCTAGCTGTTCTCAAGGACACAACATCTTTTAACATCATTATCTATTTTCCTTTCTCATGTTCCAGAATTGGGGACTCAGGACAGAAAAGTGTATCTATTTGTTTTTTGTTCTGTTTTGTTTTATTTTGAGACTAAATTTTATTGTATAGCCTAGGCTGCTGTGGGAGTGTCATCTATCAATCTGTTGATTTCATTGGCTAAGTAATAAACAAACTGCTTGAGCTCATAGCTTAGAACTAGGTGGGTGGAGTAAACAGAACAGAATGCTGGGAGGAAGAGGAAGTGAGCTCAGAGTCGACAGCTCTCCTCTCGGGAGCAGACGCCTCAGAAGAGACGCCATGCCCCGCTCCCGGGCAGACACACCCGATGAAGCTCCAACCCAGGATGGACGTGGGCTATAATCTTCCCAGTAAGACCGGTGCTCACAGATTATTAGAGATGGGTTGATCGGGATATCAGAATTAGCCAGTAAGGGCTAGAGCTAAAGGGCCAAGCAGTGTTTAAAAGAATACCGTTTCCGTGTAATTATTTCAGAGAATAAGCTAGCCATATGGGCAGCCGGGGTGCTGGGGACGCAGCCCCACCGCTCCTATCACTACACTAGGCTGTCTTGGAACTCTCTCTGTAGACCAGGCTAACCTTGAACTCAGAGATCCACTTGCCTCTGCCTTCTGCGTGTGAAGGTTAGAGAACTTGTGGGAGTTGGTTCTCTCTTTTCACCATATGGGTCTCAGGGATCCAAGCTGGATTGTCAGGATTGGCAGCAGGGGTCTTCATCAGCCACATCATCTCACCAGTCACGGGATAGAGAGTTTGGGAAAATACTTTAAAGAAACATTCTGAGTCTGGGACAAAAGAGATTCTTTTGCTCCCAGAATGGACTTTCAACAAACTGAAATAGCACGTGGTGATTTTCAATATATTACATAGGTATTCTGCGTAAGTCCACTCCAGTGGCAGAAGAATGGGACTTCACTGATTAGCCTGGGCCCATCCCTGGACCAGGAGTGGCACGAGTCCCACCTGGCTACTTGTCATGGAGTTGTGTTTGGGGGATAGCAGCCAACATGATCTATGACATGTTAAAATGTTGTGGGTGATCCAAAACCCCTAAAGAAGGCAGTAAATGTCAGTAGCGTGTGGGTGACATGCCACATTATCTGTTTAAAATGAGAGGGGAGGAGAGCTAGAGAGATGACTCGGCAGTTCAGAGTACTTACTGCTCTTGCAGAGGATCTGAGTTGAGTTCTCAGCATCTCAGACAGTTCTTGTCTGTCTTAACTCTAACTCTGGAGGATATAAAGCCTCTGGCCTCCATGGCTATCTATACCTACCTACACATACACACACACTTCAGAATAAAACACATCCTTAAAAAATGAAATAAGACATATGCTAGGGACTAAGGCTAGCTTGGTTGCTAGGGGCTTGTCTGGCATGCGTGAAGCTCTGGTATGATCCCTATCCACCATATAAACCAGGCATGGTGGCACACACCCATAATCCTAGCACTAGAGAGCTGGAGGCAGGAAGGTCAGAAATTTCAGATTATCTTCTGCTATGTAGAACGTTTGAAGCCAGCCTGGGATACATGAGACCTATCTCAAAACAGAAACAAAATAAAATGAGGCTTGCTGCTGTGTGTATCCCCCAAAGCTCCCAAAACAAGAAAGAAGTACCAAAGTACCGTGTACCAAAGATGCTTTATTGCATCACTGCTTTTCCCAATGAACAGTCAAAAACAAATAATATTAACAAATAAAAGTACCAGTTGAGAGGACCAGACATCAGATAGACACAGGACACGATTAAAAACATTAAAAAGACTACTGCGTCTATTTGTCATGTGTGTGTGCGTGTGTATGTGTGCGCACGGGTGTTGGTGGGCACTGCTAAGCCTCCATCGTGGAGCAGGCTGAGGCCCAGTGAAGTACCCGTGGAAACTGCATCATAGAGTGGATACCTGGGCCATTTGACACAGCTCCAGACTTCACACGGATTCCTGTTTTTATGGCTTTCCCAGGATCTATGTCTTGGGGAGGGCAGCCCCTGAGAAGTGCCCATTTGCTGTCTGAGGAGGGACACCAAGGGACTAGGTGCCACCGGCTCCCTTCTTCCTCACTTGCTCTTCCAGCATGGCTTCCTTGGCTTCCCTCTACTACCTAACGCTCATGGTTTTCCTCCATGCTTCTCCTACCAACTAACATCTGAAAGACTTGAATGTCCCCATGGAAGACAGAGCTAATCCAAGCCTCCTCATTCTCTTTGGAAGGTTCCTGGATGCCGGCAGTCCTCCTGAGAAAGCTGGGAGATGTTTCTGTCTCGTGCCTGTGTTCTTGGAGTGAGGCCCTACCACAAGCCACTGACTGTTCAAGGGTGGCCAGAGTCCGGAGCTCAGGAGCGGCACTGCCCAGGGACGGGTTATGAGGGGGTTCCCTCTAGATTGGAAATGCTTTTGGCCCACCAGGAAAGAAAAGCCTTACACCAATCACCATCTTAGCATTTTGTACTAACTGGAGAAAATCAACACTTAACAAGGCTCATAGTGTCTATGTGCATTTAATTTTATAGGTGTCTTCAGGGAGCTGCATTCTTCATACAGGTCCACACTCAGAGGGGTTGACAGATGGGGTAGACAGAACCCTGGAGGTCAGGTTTTTGTCTCTGCCCACTTCTCTTGTCCTCTAAACACTCAAAATCACAGCTCGTGTGGGCTGGGCTAGGGAGGGCTCCAAATTCTTCTCATTCTATACAGGAGGAGAGAGAAGAAGAGAGCTGAGGCTTAGAAAAGATTTCCAAACTGCAACAAGAGAACACTGAGATTTGGCAATTAACACCCTTGTCTTCTCTGGCTTTCTCCCTTATGTCTTTGGGGTGTTTCTGTTTGTTTTGACGCAGGATCTATTTAGTCTAGCCTGAGGTGGTGGTTTGAATGAGGATGGCCCCCATAGACTCACACATGTGAATACTTGGCCCCTGGGGGGTGGAACTGTTTGGGAAGGATTAGGAGGTGTGGCCCTGGCGGAGGAGCAGTGTCATTAGAGGCAGGCTTTGAGGTTTCAAAAGCCCATTCCCATTCCCAGTCAGCTCTCTCTGTCTCCTAAGGATATGAGCTCTCCTGCTCCTCCAGTGTCATGCCTGCCTGCCTGCCAACACACTCTCCACCACAATGGCCATGAACTCACCCGCCGAAATTGCAAGCCTCTAGTAATCTCTTCTATAGCTGGTCTTGGCCATGGTGTCTTATCAAGGCAATGGAAGTAACTAAGTCACCTGGCTTCAGATACATGGTCCTCATGCTTCAGCCTCCCAAATGCTGGGATACAGGTATGTGCACTGCTCCCAGCACGCTGGGTTTTGCTGCTGTTGGTATTTTCCATCACATTTGTTTTGTTTTTATGTCCTAGGGTCTTGATATGTAGCCCCAGTTGGGCTAGCCTGGAGTTCACATGTAGTCCAGGCTAGCCTGAATTTTACAGAGATATGCCTGCCTCTGCTTCCTGAGTGTTGGGGTTAAATGCATGTGCCAACACTGCCCAGAAGATTTGTTTTATTTTTTTTTATGTGCATGAGTGTTTTGCTTGCATTTATGTATGTATACCATGTGCTTGCCTGGAACTAGCAGAAACTGAAGAGGTCATTGGATTCCCTGGAACTAGAGTTGTGGGGGGGGGGGTGCTGGGAACCGAGCCCAGGTCCTCTCCAAGAGCCACCTCTCCAGCTCTGCTTCAGTTTCCCCCGCCTGGGCATTACATGCTGCAAAGTCAGAGGCGTCACTCACCTAGTAGTCAGGGCGAGGCATGCTTTGCTGGTTTGCATAAGGATTTTGGGTCTTGACTTTGGGGAAGATGCTGTTGCCAGCTTCGAAGTTGCTGAAGTCGAAGTTGTTGCTAAAGCCGGAGTTGCTGAAGCGGGAGTTGCTGAAGCCAGAATTGCTGAAACCGAAGTTGCTGAAGCCGGAATTGCTGAAGCCGGTCTGCTGCATTCGTACGTTCTGAAAGTCTTCATCAATCAACTTCTGTTCCTCCACATTCTTCTTTTTGTTTTTTGAACTATAATCAGTAAAATGAATTAGGATTTAAGGATGGCAACAAAGTTTCTTGAAGCAATCCCCCCTCCTCATACAGTCCTGGAACTCATTATATAGACCAGGCTGACCTTGAATTCACAGAGATCTGCCTGCCTGTGTCTCCCAAGTGTTGGGATGAAAGGGTGTGCCACCATGCCCAGGCCGACGTTGGCATTAGGTGTGCTTTTCAGTTGGTTATGAAACTCATAGAAGTGAAAGAGAAGCCATGACTTATGTCTGACACCAGCAGAATAAATGTCTACAGAAACATCCAGTGAGTGAGATGTGCTCAGCATACCATGGTCTTAGAAGAGGAAAACGGAGCCTGAGAAGATGGCTCTGCTTTCAAAGCACTTGGCACAGAAGTGTGGGGACCTGAGTTGGAATCCCTAGAGTCCATACAGATGTCAGGTGGGCATGCATGGAGGCCCACCTTTCTCTCTAGCACTTGGAAGGAGGGACTCGGGATAGAGATCTCTGGAATAAGTTAGCTAACCAGAGTAACCATTTCTGTGAGCCCTAGTGCAACTGAGAGATTCTGCCTCAGCTAACGGAGGAGCCCACAGCAGAGGGAACCTTCTGCCTCAGTTAGTGGAGGACCCCACAAAGAGGAAGCCTCCTGCCTCAACTAGTGAAGGAGCCCACGGCCGAGGAAGCCTCCTGACAGCAACCCTGGGTCTACATGTTCACCCACATGCATAGTACCTACACTAGTACATATGTGTTTACACAAACAGAACAAACTACACACATGTGTACAATGAGGAGAAAAGGAAAGAAGGTTTGGCAGCATGATAGGGCTTGTTGGGGCACTTCAGGGGCCTCTAGTGTGGGAATTCTAAGTGTTTGTGCTCACATGGTCGTCGTCCTACCTTACCCACATTATACACCTGCTTGTCTTCCTGTCCATGGGCCATAGTCCCACTCCCCAGATCAAGAGAGTAGGGACAGCCGGGCGATGGTGGCTCAAGCCTTTAATCTCAGTATTCAGGAGGCAGAGACAGGCGGATCTTTGTGAGTTCGAGGCCAGCCTGGTCTACAAGAGCTAGTTCCAGGACAGGCTCTATAGCTACAGAGAAACCCTGTCTCGAAAAACCAAAAAAAAAAAAAAAAAAAAGAGAGAGAGAGAGAGAGAGTAGGAACAGCTGTATCTATGACACAGGCCACCTGTGCTTCAGTCACATTGGGGATGGCATTCACCGGGTGCCTCAGATAGCTAGCTCATTTTGCCCTGGGAACCCTGCTTTTGATAGTCTCTCTAGCAAAGACTCCTCTTCCCTAAGGACTGATCATGGAGGCAAAGATTTCATGCTGTAATTCCAAGAACCCTGACTCTGTGGATGAGCTAAGAGCCTGGCTCTGCAGCAGGATGGAGAAGTCTTGATAAACAAACAAACCAAAAACTGTCACAAGGCCACCCAATTCGATAGTAACTCTGGTCTCCGGAGGGCCAGGACAGTCAGCCAACTACCTTAAGAAAAGAGGACATAGGCTTACTCCAAAACGAAGAAGGTTCTGCCTCTCTTCCTAGAAGTGAGAAAGCTAGATATTGTGGGGATGGCCCTGTGGCTTATTCTAGTTTTGCTCTGGGAAAGGTTAACATCAAAGTGGAAGAAAGCAGCAACAATAGAATAAGAACCGACTATGTCAGGCAGTGGTGGCGTATACATTTAGTCCCAGCACTTGGGAGGCAGAGGCAGGCAGATCTCTGTGAGTTGGAGGCCAGCTTGGTCTATAGAGCAAGTTCTAGGACAGCCAGGGCTATACAGAGATGTTGCGGGAGGTCCTCCCACTCCTCCAGCCTATCACCGCTGAGGTACCAGCCCACTGGGGCGTGGTTTCTCTCCCTTTAAAAAAGCGGCCACTTCCCTCTCCTCTCTCTCTTCACTTCCTGCTCCGCCTGTGACTAGACTCCTTTCCTGGTTGCGTAGAGGGCTGTTGCCTAGGACAGTGATCTGTAAGTTTTTTCCCCTTTAAATAAATACCACCCTAATAATCATAACCCCGAATTGGTGTGGCATTGTTTGTGACTTACGCCTTCATTTTGGCGCCCAACGTTTGGTTTTAGAACCTCTCCTTTCCCCACTCCCAGCCCCAAGTTCGGCTTGGCGGCTGCGGGCTTGGCGGGCGCAAGTTCAGCTTGGCGGCTGCGGGCTTGGCGGGCTCTAGTTCGGCTTGGCGGGAGCCCCTCCTTCCTCAGCCACCAGAGGCCTTGGACTTCCCACGTGGATTTAAACTCCACAGGCCCGTGTAGTCTCTGGCCACCTGGTTTGCTCTTTTCTGAGTCATTTTTAAATCTCCCTTGCAAGTACAGCTCTTAAGTGGCACGAACCAGAGCACGTGGTTGCTGAAAGCTGCAACCCCTCAGGGTGACTTGTTCTGTCTCAGGAATTGATTTAATTAGATTTATTTTGTTGAGAAACTTTCATTTTCCAGTTTTTAACATCTACTAAGGCACTGAAACAGGACCATGTTTTCACCGCGACTCTGCAACAGCGCCACCTGCTGGATAATAGGTAATATTGCAGTTTTTGTTTCTAACGCAAATTTTACTGCTTTGTTTTCACTAATACAATGGATTAGTAAATTTATATTTACTAATACAATGAATTACATCATACAAGGTTTATATGATTATGGGGATACCTTAATTTTCTTGTTACTAGCCTTCAGTTTTCTTTTCCATATTCTATCATTAAGGAAGAATATGGCACTACTAAGAACGATTGAATCTTTACGTACTAATAATGAACAGAAGAATATGGCACTCCTAAGAATGATAGAATCTTTACGAACTAATAATGAACAACTAATTGACAGGATTAAAATTATTGAAAATCAGAGGTTATCTGAACAAGTGGATACTATGACAGACAAAATTGATTCCATATCCAAGGGTATTAGAAAGTTACCTGAAAGGGTTCAGGCTGTTGAATTTGACGTTCAGACTTTATCACAAAGTTTTGATAAGGTAACAGACAGAATGTACCTCCAAGATGGGAATCTACATGATATACAAGAAAAGTTTAAGGAGGACATGTTATCTTTGAAGGAAAAAATTAAAGCTTTGGAATCACAGGTGCAGAATGGGGACCAAAAAATTGATACCTCAGTAAAATCACTGGAAATATATACAGGTCAGGAGATTCAGGATTTAAGAGAGACAATGATAAAAAGATTTGAAAAGATTGGGGAAATTATTACAGCTGGTGAACAGAGTAAGGAAACACAAGGACAGGATATAAGGCCTCCACCAGCTATTAGAACTGGCTTACCCAGGGTTCTAGCGACATACCCTATACTTAATTCTGAAAAAGCATCAACTTCTAAAGGCTCAAAGGGAGTCAGAGAAGCTAGATGGACGCCAATAGCAATGAATGATCTGAAAGAAATTAAGCAAGCTGTTGTTAATTTTGGCTTGCACAATGCATATGTAAAGGAAATGATAAGGACTTGGGCTTCTAATGCTAGAGCTACTCCCCATGATTTCCATCAGTTAGTGTCTGCAGTTTTAGATAATGGACCTTCCTTGATGTTTGGAATTTATTTCAGAGAAGAATCCAAACATATGGAACAGCAAGGAAGAGCAAAAGGTATTGAGGTTTCCCAAGATCAAATTCTTGGTGCAGGAGAATATGCTGATCCACAGGTCCAAGCTCTTTATGACGATGAAGTACTGTGTCTATGTCACCAAGCAGCTTTAAATGCTTGGAATAGGATACAAGATCCAGCAAAAAGGGTTGAATCATATACCAGAATTAGGCAGGGACAGAGAGAACCCTTTATTGACTTTTTGCAAAGATTAATTAAGGCTCTGGACATAGGGGTAACAGACCCAGAAGCTAGACGAATACTTCTTGAATCTCTAGCTTTTGAGAATGCAAACATAGAATGCAAAAAGATAATTGGGCCTTTAAAGTCTAGATCAGCACCTATGGATGAATGGATTCAGCATACGATGAATGTTGAGACGTTTAGCTATAATGATGAATCTTGGGTAGGAGAAGCGATTTCCAAAGCAATGAGGAGACATCAAACTGCCAGGTGTTTTAATTGTGGTAAATTAGGACATTTGCAAAGGAATTGCAGGCAAAGAATTTCTAGGAATAATATCTCTTCTGGGAATGACAAAAATAGGAGACCTCGGCCTTCAGGTATATGTAGGAGATGCGGTAAAGGCAGGCATTGGTCCAACGAATGTAGGTCAACAACAGACAGACGGGGCAATCCGATATCATCGGGAAACTCCTTGGGGGGCCTCTCGCAGGCCCCCAAGCCAACAGTGGCCCAGACATTCCCAGTCACAGTGGAGAACGTGCCTCACCAAGAAAATTAAAAGCTCCAATTTCTGCTGTAAAAAGTAATACTGGTCTAAATGAAGAATTACGTGTGGAGGATGAGTCAAAAAACCCAATAGGACAGAGTAAACGTATATTTTGGCAGACTTCTATTAATGATCAAAGACCAAAGCTAAGAGTCTGTATAAATGGCACTTTTATTGAAGGCTTATTAGACACAGGTGCGGATGTAAGTATCATTACCCCAGAATCTTGGCATCCGAATTGGCCTCTTCAAGAGGTAGATGTTCAATTCCTGGGAATTGGAACCCTATCTCGTGTAAAACAAAGCACAAGATGGGTTGAATGCATAGGGCCCGAAGGGCAAATAGGAAGACTAAGGCCATATATAGCCAATATTGCCATAAATTTATGGGGCCGTGACCTGCTACAGCAATGGAATACCCAGATTAACATTCCTGTATTTCCAGGAACTCATAATTCTGGGAAGGATATGATGAGGTATTATGGAAAAAGGTCACCAGCCATTCAGGCTGTACAAGAACATACAGCAAATACCAAACCTTTAGAGGTACCAACGGCCCTACCTTTAAAATGGCTAACTGAGAAGCCAATATGGACCAAACAATGGCCTCTAGCTGAAGATAAACTACAGGCATTGGAACAGCTGGTGCAAGAGCAACTA